TGTTTTATTTGCAGTGTGTCTCAGGTAACAAAATATTATCTAGATAAGATAAAGATAATTTTCTAAACAATTATATAGATTCTGATTCAGATGATCATTTTTAATTATATCTAGATAAAGATGTAAATGTTTTATTTAGATATTTTAAAAGATATTTTCAACTTTTTGTTCAAAAAGAAGCATAAAAAATAAACATATTTCAAAATTATTTTAGACAAGTGTTATTAATATCTTATAACCATTAATTTGAATAAACAACTCTAGTAGGAAATATCTTCTTTTAATTGTTACGAAAATATTTATTTCCATGCACTTTTTTATTTCAATAACTCTGTACCCACAATTCATACAATAATTAAATATAGTAACTACACACAAGTAGCATTAGAATAACATAATTTACTTAACTAATAGAATCATATATAAAAAATACGAAAAAAAATTGTACAAACAATTTTAAAAAGTAGCTAATTAGGCATTGCAAATTCAAAAAAAAACTTTTTAAGTGTAATAAAATCCAATAACAACTTAAGATTGTAAAATATAAGTTTAGGATTTTATTATATACGATGTTTAAAAAAAAATATTTTTTATTTATAATAATATGTAATTGTTTACAAGGTATAAGGTCCCTTTCACACGAAGCCACTAGAACAGCGCCACCATAGTCGCGCCACCACAAGATATAAATAATTAAATTATGGTATCACACATTGTGGCGCCACTCATAGAAATTTGTGCAACCAGACTTACTGAATGCGCGACTAAAATAGTAGCGCCACCGCTTAAATGTATAAGGTTGTAATATAAAAACGTACAGTCTTTTCAAACGACTCACTGCCAATGGCGCGTGTTGACGTTATTTTTGACGTTGACAATATTTTTGAATATGCATAGCCACTTTGATACGGTAAAGTCTATTATAGAAATTGAAAATCGGCCGGCGACGTGAAACTTTGCTTGTAACGAGTATTCTAATCGCGATGTATAAAAGAAATATCTAATGACACATTTTCCGAGAGGTTTCATCTCATATTTTCTCATATTTATTTGTTGATAAATATTCTTGAAGTTGTATTATTAATTCGTCAAACGAATTAACATACATTGTTTAATAATTAAAAATTGTATCATCATATTTTCTTAAATCATTATAAAATAAGTTAAATAAACCCTTAGCATAATGGTCAGACAGTAATGAATGTGCCCAAAACTTTCTATTTTATTTCCGTTAACTTACAACACGACTGTAGAGATATACTGCATATAGCTCTTCGACTTCCAACATAATGAAATGGAACTAAATTTAATTTTAAGTTTATGGCTATATAACATAATCTACATCGAAACACAAAATCGCTTCTGGAAGCATGAACAGTGACGATGATTTTTTGATGCTCCTGATCTGGTGGCTTCATGTGAAAGAGACCTAAGTGTTACGTTATGTCCTAAAATATTTTGTCCATTTTAAACTCCAACCACCAACTCAACGGCCAAAATCCAAGATAGTTATAACTGAAACTCATAAACTATTTAAGGATTAAACATCTATTTTTATTGCGAAAGACCAGTTTATTAATTCATCAAAAAGACTCATTATTGTAAGTAGGTACAGTGAGAATGAAAAAAATATTCAATATAAAAAAAAATTATCATTAACCGTGTTGGAATTAACAATAATATAATAATAGTTGTCAATACCTTTACATAATAGACCGGGTGAATTCGAACGTTTATTAAGTTCTATCGAGTGTCACTTACTTTGGAGTGAAAAAATATAGTACTTAGTGTTTGGTATCCTTTCGTTGAATATAAATACATTATTTATGATCACTACGTAAATACATTTTAAAACGTACACTACACCGTCCGTCCCTGGCTGTACGACGCAGATATCTATCCCCGTTTATACTAACGATTTATAGCCACAGCGTTTCGTTAGACTGTCAGTGTAAGTAATAATAATAATAATAATACTCGTTATATTATATTGATGTATGGTTCACGAAACCGTTACGTACGGATATGATGTAGACCGCGGGTGGATATTGTTTACAGTGTACAATTTCTACATTCAGGAAAGGATAGACACGGGGTTTGCCAACTTTTAATAGCCCTGGGCTCTCTTATAAATTTATTTTAAGCCCCTTTTATTATTATTTTTCGAGATTCTATAACTATCAACCGCATGCGTAATACGCAGGGGTCCTTTTTACTTTTATTTTTTTTCATATAAAATAATTACTACGGCAGTAGCACCTTTATATGATGGTATCCACGGCACAATAGCGTTATAAGTCTTAATAAAACGCCAAACTCGCTTGTGTGGTTTCCATCCAACAAACGTACAGCATCACGAATTTTCGTTTAGTAAATCAATTTTGTATTATTATTGATATTAAAGTAAACTGATAAATCACCAAATTTACAGGGAAGAAAATTTAATGTCCTTATATGTCGGTTTTTTATAATATTTTAATTTTAAAATGAGTAATGAGTTCTTACGAATAATAATATTTTACGTACTTGCTTAAAATTGAAAAAATCGATGTACAAATCGATGTTTTATTCTATAAGTTTGATAATAGAGTTCAGTATATTGTAATATTAAAGCTACACGAAATCAGTCCTATTAAATGAATATTTTCAACGTTTTGCGTTTGCAAAACGAAGATGACACATGCGTGGTAGCATCCTTTTAGTACCCATTTTATTTAATAATTTCATTATAATGTTTCGGGCCCTAAATTACATCCCTGGCCTTAAATTACTAGTCTACCGCTGCCTGCGTTACATAGGTATGCTTACGCTATAATATTGCGACCGTACTACATTTCGAGGGAAAATAACATTATAATATAATAGTAATTATTACTGTTGACGTAGTACGACTTTGGGTAGACTGCGCACTGCGAATGTATAAAGGTATAACAGTATAATATTTATATATACACGTGCACGTGTATGATAACGATATTATTATCGCTTAGCCGTACGATAGTATTTATGATATGCGTGACAGTGCAAAATAAATGAATATGATTTTAATCGGGAGAAATAAAATTCTTGCTACTTACAGCGTAGTGCGTTCAGTGAGTGTAGAGTTATCCCATAGAATTTTTTTTTTTTTGTCGTAAAATTATACGTAACAGGCGACTTCTAAATAATATAACAATAAAAAACAAAACAGCCTTTTTGCGCGCACGCCCGCCCCGTATTTTAGGGCGAAAAAGTAAAACGATGCAACAATATAATATTTATAGAATAATACGCAGGTTTATATTTCCAAAAAAACATCGTTCCCTCACTGTTAAACCTTAAACGTTTATAGTTTATGTTTCACTGGCTGGGAATTGGATTTCGTTGAACAAAACCTTTCTCAATTACCCATTTCGGAGTAACTATTTTGAAATTTCTATCAACTTAAAAACTTATAAACTTTTTTAATTTGATTTGCTTAAGATAATGCACGTGTGCATAATGTATACAGTACGTGCGGCAGCCTCGTCGAAAACGTTCGGTAGTTCGTTTGGATCAACTAAAAAACACGCGCTCCTAAATAGGTAGGTAATTGGTATATTATACGCAACCACTCGGAACGAAAGGTGGTATTAGTAGTCCATTAGGCTATCGGCAATACGGTCGAACGTACCGTTGAAACGTTAAAAAATTTCAGAACGCCCGTCGAATGCGTAAATATACAAACGGTATACCTACGGTGCCGGTCGTAATTATATCGTAAACAGCGTTGAACCGTATCATAAAACGTAATAAACAAAGAAAAAAATGTTAAAATTTAGACACCCCACGTGGGTATTGAAAAATCGGAACGGTGAATCTTTTATATTATATTATTATAAATTTATAACGGTAAACTATCGAAAAGTTTGGTACCAACTATTAAAACGTGTCAGCTACAGGGTGTGATTTGTTAAGTTATTGAAACGACGTATTTATTTTCCATTTTCATCCGCGGCGTGCTGCTTTTCTTCGAACGACCCTCCGAAAGGGTCCTTAAAGTGCGCGTTCGAAAAATAACCCCTGCGTAAAAAGCCAAACCGTAGCGTTGTTTTTGCGCTCGTATTTCGTGCAGAGTATCGCGCACGTATTCCAATATTATACTCGTTGCGTATATTTTGTTCTGTAGGAGTCTGTTTTATTTTCAAATATTCTGTCCCGTAACTTGGCAAGAAAAAAAAAACGCCATTTAACGAAATACGATACGACGTCGTTGTTTCCTTGTGTATTATACATATTGCATGCCTCCGCGGTGACGGTGTGTTCATTTTTGCAGCGGCATAGCGTTTTTTGTAATTTTAACGTCTCTCACCCATCCGTAACATCGCACTCCAAACGCGTCGTTTACTCGATCAATTACGACAGCGGTTTCGATCAATTTGTCCGCAGACGTGCGTCCAAAAGTTTTTGGTTGAAGTTTGAATGTGAACTGGCTGTAGCTTAATGTTAAATCAATATTAACAGCATATATACGCGTGCGTGCGTACGTGTAACTGTAGGGTAGTGAGAAATAAGGAGTCGTTACTCAAAATGTTTTTATGGGTTTATGTATCGGGCCAAAATATGTATATGTATACGTATACAATTATATGTACACGGCATATCATCGAAGTGAAGAAAAAAATTTGGCGATTTTAGCTCTTAATAAGGATTGTTGGTAAATTGTTAAGCGAAGTATGAATGATTTTCGTTTTTCAATGCTCAGTGAATCGGATCAAACTTTCAACAAAACTGCCCTGCACTCTTACGGTCGATTCGAAGAATTGTTCCTAAAAGCATACTATTCTTCTTAAACGAAATTACTTATTTCCTTTTTTTCTGCCGATCGATACATAACATTAAATTATTATGTAACGTGTATTATGTTAAAAGTAAATTTAAACTACTTTGGACTATATTGTACCGTATAGTCTAAAAAAAGAAAAAACACTTTTTTGGTGGATAACGTAACCTATAAACATGGGGTGGTGGTGATAACTTACCGATCGGTCGCCGAGATTTCGGACCCTGCAATGTAAATACGTCATCTGGCCCACCGTGGCGGTCACGTCACGTCTAGTAGCGTTGTCGAAGTATGGCTGCGAAAACGGCTGCTCCCAGTAGTTGAGGTTGCTGTTTTGCGACGGTGATTCGATCAAACCATCTGCGCACAAAACAGAAAAAAAAAACCAAGCAGGTCCCGTTAATTGTATCCATCTTGTACATGAATTAAACAATTTGAATAATAAATAACGCGTGCACCGTTGCTTTTGATTTAGATATTATATTATTGTTGTTACGGTGTAGGTTTAATTACAGTTTATATTGCATAAAATTTATAAGTGACGGACTAGGTAGGTGTATATTGAATAGAAGCATTCGTGGTTACAGAAAGCTACAATGATAAACTTTTTACAACAATTTGTGCATTTCGCTGAAGACTAATTAGGCTTCTTGAAGAAATAAAACGTTTTTATTGCACGTGATAATAATGTCTCGAAAAAAAAACAACTGCACATACACAATCACGTACATACACAATACATATAACAATTTGTTTGATTTATAACTCTAAAGGCATATATTCACCGTGCTAAAATTAAGTTATTCGGCACATTATACAGCTTAAACGCATTTTTAACGACTGTGCTGTACGCTCAGGTTGTAATGCTATATGAATATTATAATGTATACTATTTATAATTTTTTACGGTTCAAATTTTATTACAGTCCGCTCGTATCATAGTATCAGTGTATGGTTATCAATAACATGTTTTAAATGTATTGCTTTTTAGAACTTGAGCACATACATAACGCATCGGCATCAATGTGCATATATTATTTTACGATTTCTATTGACGTGGCGCTGTTCTCTCAGGGTTGCGCTGTGAAACGATTCGTTATGTTCACGGGGTTGTGTCATCTTCGTTGTTGCTAAGTAAAACGACTGCGGGGTGGCGTGGACTCACGGCACGCGGGCAAACACGAAGCTTTAATATTGTTTTGAACGTCACGAAACCAGCCATTGTTTTCAAATATCGATATCTAAAGAAGGTTTTCACAAAGACGTTTACCACCAAACCACTCATATGTCATCGATATCGCCCACGTCATCTCGGGATATTTATCTGATACGGTAGCCGACTTATTGTTTTCCGCTCACCACACGCGGTATCATTCGGCTTGACGTTTCATAAACAACACGCGGCGAGTAGTATGATATAATTCTTTTTTAATTATTATTATTATTTCGTTTTTTGTGTCTCATAATACTGTACGACACAATAAACTTACTAGCACCATTCCTTTTTAATAAGTTGAACAACTCGGGCTACGATGCGCACGGCTTCTTACATATTTATTTATTTTAGAATTACCTACAAATATCGATCAATACGAAGACTTATTATTGAAAAATAAAATAAAATGGTTTTATATGGGTTTAGCAAAACTTACAGATACTTAATGCAGTTTGAATGTACTTAATTCTTATATTCTGAGGATTATGCTAAATACATAATTCGTAAAACAATATATTATGAAATTAATTTTTAAGTTCTTATCGTAAATCAAAATATAATTTATTTTTTTATTTTTATTAATATTAAAATAACATGTACAATTTGTATATTTTATCACAATGAACAAATTTGATTGAAATATTTTTTCAATATAAAATTAATCTAAACCTAGAAAAGCTAGGTATATAAAAAAACAATAGATCCTTATTAACGAGTAACAAAGGTCTGATAAAAATATGGTTACGAGTCTATATTGAGAGATAAAATAAGGGTTGTAGAATGGAACAATATAACGAAAAATCATGATGAGATATGAGTATTTCAGAAATTAATAGTGGTAAATAAATAAAATCATTGATAAATAGTGGTTTCAGTAACATAGATAGAATTCCGGTATCTACAAGTGATCAACTAAGGAATCAGGACCAAGTTTTTTCTAGATGATAAATAAAATGCGAGCAAATATCTAAGCTACATAACCATAACATAAAAATATTTGAATGAGAAGGATAGCCGTAACAATCAAATACTTTGGAAAAGTGTACATCAACACTGATTGAGCATATGGCAGCCGAAAACTTTATATACCTACGTGATTAAAATACTAAAGTTATATATTTAAATGAAATTGAAAAACATGATATATCGATGGAATAACAACAAAATTTTACGCATACATATATGGTATTATTCAGCGAGAGGAATTGTACATAGTGAATAAATCAACGAACTTTAAATTAAATTAACTTGAGTATTTATTTATTTTATTTTTATTTTAACGATACCTAATATTACAACTTGAAAATGATGTGTAAATTATAGTACAGTGAATACTAATATTTAAATACCAAATTATCACAACACCATTCCAACATTAACACGTTTTATTCGATCATTGTTTAAAAAACAAAATTTTTCATCATGGTCGTCGAAAAAAATGATTTATAAAATATGTATAGTGTACACATATATCTATGCTGTATATTTGTAGATTTGTAGCAGAAAACGGAATCGATGAATAAATAAAATTAGAAGTACCGCAGGCTATTAAATAACTATACTAAATTAAAATGTTCTGTATTTAATATACAAAAACAAATAATGGAAATTCGTTTAATGTAAATAAAGTGTAATTATTCGGAATTGTAATTTTTTTTCAAAATATATATTTGAGTCATAGATTTGCTGTATTAATAGCGTATAGTTGTAATTGTTCGAAAATAGTTTTGTCTAGAATATTCTCGGGGTAGTTCACGGGCACTGCCGGTCTACGACCGGGCGCACGGCGGCACGTGTTTCTGGGAAAAAACCGGTTTGCGGACGACACAGCCGCGTAATTTCTAGAATTTTCAAGCTACCGTGCGCTACGGATATAAAAGGCCGACATGCCCCGAACTCTACACAGTTTGTCAGTTACACAGTTAATTAGTTGTTGTAATTTATAGTGATCGCTAGGATTCCTTTTTATAATATTTTCATAACGCATACTGTCACGTTTTTATCGGCATCGGGCTGAATATTATATTAAAATAGTGTATGTCGCGTCCTGCCTGCAACGGGCCGTAGCATTGAAATTATTAGTGTTTTTACGTTTAATATACAGTCCACTTTTTAGTTCATTAAATTGTGTTGGTTCAGTGTTTTATCGACTTTATTATTACCTGATCAGTCTCTCACGGTGTTCTATACACCCGCAAATCTTAAGCCCGGATATAGTCACCAACAGTAATAGTAAATGTAATAGAAAACGGCTAATGAAAAACGAAAAAAAATCAACAATATCAAAATCGTGTTTTTTTCTTCTGTTTCGTGATCAAGTTGTTGAATAATATGTACCACTAAGGATCGTGGTCCATGGGGTGTTCAGTATTTAAGTATATAACTATTAAATTTAATCCATTAAAATGACAGCACATTTTGTACAATTGTAACTTCTTATTGTTTTATAGTTGCAAGTGGTAAATTCTGGTTGTCACCGACGATTTTTCCCAATGGCATTATATTGACTTATCTAATTTGAAGCCTTTTACATTCGCTTGTTATTTTTATTGAGTTCGTCAATAGCATATACAAATTAAATAAATGTATAAAACTAGGAAATAATACAAACGAAAAAATTAAAAATTAAAAAAAAATTAAATATCAGGTATTTTTACTGTGTATATATTATAATATATTTTAAATTAAATACCTTGAAAAATTGTAATATTTAACCTTCTTTTTCTTATTATTATGAAAAAATATTTATTTTTTTCGTGATAAGGTTATTCTATTGGTACAAAAAAAAAAAAAAAACAATACATTGGTATATGTATAATATATAAATATACATATATTTAATCCATACATCGAAACATTTAAAAAATAAAACCATGTAGAAAAGGTGTTTTCATTTAATTTGACATTGATTGATAAATGAGAGAAAACCATTTAGTCATGTAATGTGATGAAATGTTCAATTATAATTTGATGGTCTCAAGAGAGATTACCAAGGTAAATTGTACATTTTGTTGAACAAAATCAATTTTTAAATGGATGGAAAAATATTAATATAACAAAAGTATCTACATAGGAATTGAATGAACGCGAACGATAATAATTGAAAATCAAATAGGCTATCAAAGTGAGTATTGAATCACATATGAATTTATAATAACAAGAAATTATCATCATAGCACAGACATGTTTGGACGGATAGAAATGCATTATGACGTGGCTTTGTAACCCGTAATAATGCATTAATACAGTGGTATTAAGCTTAGAGATATTAATTAGTTGTTAAATCGAAATCAATATTGCAAGATTTTGTGTTCAAATTAAATTAATGTATACATAATAATTTGAAAATAACACGAAATGTTTAGTGTATTACTTGTACAGAATACGTTGCGGCAAATCATTACTAAATGATAATAATCGTAACATAACGTGTTTAACGGTCCACCTAATTCAAACATTATTTAGATATTTTAATTACTAGAAGCTCGGGAGGTAATGACATTTTAAAATGAATCAAATCGGCGCGGTAAACGGCATTGTTTTTAATTTTCCATAAATCAAACGCAACGGGAGATACGCAGTTTTAACATTTTTATTCTAAGCGGTAGCTTAAATTTATACCCATAGATGAAAATTTAATTATATAAATATAAATTGCAATTGAAATGATGTGGTATTAATAATATAATATATACGAAAAATATATATTACATTATAATATAATATAGGAACTCGTACGCGATTAACCTAAGAATTTCAGAAAAAGCTGGAATTGCCATAATGATTTATTTCGTAAACGCTACACTATGGCCGAACAAACATCATTATTGATCTGAGTATAAACATAAAAATCTATTTATACTGTACATACGGATATAAATATATAATATATGTACGGAGTACCACGAAATGCATTCTTTATTGTTCGGTTCCTTCTTCTTAATATATTGTACGCGCTATCCTGTATGAAATATGAAATACAATTCGCGATGACGTTAACGCCCTCGGCCATCCTGTACTCGGCAGCACTGTTGTTATTGTTATTACATTGGACACGTTAAAAATACGTTCCAGCTATTATTGTTATTATTTTTGCACAGTAAAATGGGCGACGGTGGTGGTGAATTCTGACTTAATTTCGTAA